ACATTATTTAATCACCTTCATTTCTTTCAATAAACGAACTTCTGCTTACTACCATTCCTCTGGCCTGTTCTTCGCGTCTCGTTTCCGTAAGACATTGCAAATCCGTACCAGTGTGGTCCAGTGCTTCTGAGATCCAGTCTGTGAANNNTGGTGTTCTTAATTCCGTGCGTACTACTACTACTACTAATATAATCATTACATAATCCTAGGGAGTTCACCGCCGCTTCCCACTCATCAAGATGCCCCTTCTCTACGGGCCGATTCCCCTAAACAACGACCCAAGTTCCCCACTCTTCCTAGAGGACCTGTCATTCCTTTACAAAAGCCCAAGTCACTGGCCTCAACAATCACCCGACTGATGTCCCTGAAACTCAAAAATCACCGAAAAGACGCTCCGTCTTCTTTTTCTAAAGCAGGCAATGTGCTCCGACTCCCAAGACAGTCAGCGCCTCATCCTCCAGTGGAAACCCAGTCTCAGGACGCCCCTCTTATCCTAAGTCTCTTGAAATTTCTAGTGAAGAAGTGCTAAAATGCATGTACACCAACTGTTTAAGCCTTGGTAACAAGGTACTTGAACTCAGAAAAAAGATTGGAGAACTTCAGCCATATATTCTAACTCTAACCGAGACATGGCTAACTCCAGATATCTTAGACGGGAAAATCAAAATAGATGGTTATACACTTTTGAGGAGCGACTCAAAACGAGACCGCGCCGGTGGTGTAACTATCCACCTGAGCCAGTCACTTCCTCCAGTAGTCTTAATACCCCAGGATCCCATCCCCATGATAGACACTCTATGGGCAAAAATATCTCTCTCCAACAGAGGTTCCATGTTATTAGGTGTCACCTATCGCTCCCCAACCAGAGACCAGACGCAGGCACAGACCCTTTTAAACCAACTTCGCTATCCTCGATCCTGCTGCTTCTCTACACACGTCCTTATAACCGGCGACTAACGCTCCGGCTATTGACTGAGCTAGAACTAACTCCAGTGACATCTTCTTTAGTCAGCCTCTTCTAGACCTTATTACTGAGAGGTCATGGCACGAACATGTATGCTGTCCCACCAGATTTCGTCCGGGCCAGTCCCCTTCTCTACTCGATTTCGTGATAACAAAAAATCGGCATCAAATCGACGAGATCCCTACTCTCTACCCACTTGGCAAGAGTGACCACTCTCTCCTGAGCTTTGACTTCATCGTCCACTGACCATCTTATACGTCAGCACCAAGAGCTTTGCGGTCCTTCATGCGGACCAACTTTGCTGCCCTAAGAGATTACTTGGCAGCAAATCTGACTTCTGCTAACCTATCTTCAGAAACAAACGGACTCAATGATCAAATTGAGGACGTACTCTGAACAGGCTATTGCCTGTTCGTTCCCAAGATATTCGTCCCACCAAAAAGCCGCCCTCCTCTTCCACGTTCAACACGTCGGCTTCTGGACGAACGGAACGTCCTGGTTGCAAGGTACAAGCTCACAAACTTGGATAAGGACGCGGATAAGTTCAAACTTATCCGGAACCTATGCAACAGCAAGATCAGGGAATTCTTCAACCGGCAATAAAAAGATATCTTAGTCAGGGCAAGAAGAAATCCCTCCTGTCTCTTCAAACTTCTCCGTTATAAAAGGCAACCTAGTTCCTCTACTCTGGACCTGAAACTTCCTGACGGCTCCCCAATTATCTCATCTGAAGAGGTAGCGAATACCTTCCGAACTCACTTCCAAGATATTTTCAATTCCGCCCCACCTACTCCCTTTCCTGCTCTACAGCCTAAGTCAGATATAACCCCGTTAGAGCACTTCATTGTTCAAACCGAAGAAGTACTTAAACTTCTAAGGTCTCTAAACCCCTATAGCTCAATGGGTCCAGACGAGGTCCATCCCAGAATACTCAAAGAGACAGCAGCTGTACTATCCCCACATTACGAGCAGCTGTTTCAAAACTGCCTAGATAAAGGTGAATTCCCTGATGCCTGGAAAAAGGCAATCATATCGCCCATCTGCAAAAAGGGACCCCAGCATAACGCCAGCAGTTACAGACCTATAAGTCTAACCAGCATCCCCAGCAAAATGTTTGAACATCTCATTAAGAGACATATTATTGAACACCTGAAGGAAAACAATCTTCGTTCTCCCTTCCTTCGTTCCTGGCAGATCATGCATCACCAATATGCTATATGTCATGAAAAGTCTAACCCAGGCCTATGATGATGGTAAAATCTCACATGCAATCTTCATTGACTTTACCAAAGCCTTTGATCGAGTACCACATTCTCAACTAATGCACAAACTGGAAATATATGGTATTAGAGGCCGGCTTCTTAATCTTCTGGGCAGCTGTCTGTCCTCGCGCTCCTTCTCTGTTAGGGTAGGAACCTCTTTCTCCAACTCTTCACCGATGACAACAGGTGTTCCCCAGGGACCCGTTCTAGGTTCACTCTTTTTCATCTTATAAATATAAAAAAATAAAAATATATAAATGACCTCCCGGACAAAATCCCAGTTCACATTGCTATCTATGCTGACGATGTCACAATCTAGGGGAGTGACACATCAGCAGTACAGGCAGCCATAAATATCACCAAAGCATGGTCATCAGACTAAAGCCTACAAATAAATGATGATAAATGTGTAAGTATGCCCTTTACCAGGGGCTGCGCGCACACCTACAATGTGTGCAACACATCCCGACTTCAAACTGTCAACCAGCACAAGATCCTTGGCTTCTGGCTATCTAATTCTCTATCTTTTTCTCGCCACCCCAAAAAGCCCGAAAAAAGGCTTTTGGGATATTGAACTTTATCAAGCTCTCCTTCCCTCGCTTAGATAAAGAAAACTTTCAACTATTATATGGCACGTATCTAGGACCGCTATTAGAATACGGAGCCCAAATCGCAGGCTCTGGGCTTTTGAGTGATCGTAACTCCCTCGAACGAGTTCAGGGAGCAGCCACAAAGCTAGTCCTAGGTCTCTTCCATGTTCCATTCCCCATCCGTCTCACCGCACTGAACCTTTATCCCCTAAACACCCGCCGCATTCGAGCGGATCTTTTCCTTCTCTACCATTTTCTCTCCACGGACACGGCCAACCAGTTTTTTATTCCATGTAGCTGAGAAACTTTTGGTGGTTACAGTAAAAAGCTGTTTAAGCCTCGGCCCCTTACTCGAGTTCGTCACTGGTTCTTTACCCACAGAGTCATTCCATTATGGAACAGCCTCCCACAGGAGGTTTTTGACGCGCCCTCAAAGAGCACGTTTAAACACAAGCTCGCTTTATTCCTTGGTTTTAAACACGCTGCCACCGACTCCCATCAGTTGCTCCCTCTCGATCGGTTCATTTATCACTACATCCACCACGTTTTCGTTTTAAATGTATTTATCCCAACTGCATTGAGTCCGAATTTATGTTGATGTTGTGTATTTTTGTTCATGCAAAACAAAAAAAGAAAAACTTTTCGAAAACAGTGTGTTAGGACGGAGCGCACAAAATTCGTCCTGCCACGCAGCGACGCGCGTCACACCACAAGTGCGCTCGTGACGCCCAAGCCGAATCGACTCCTGATTAGATGACTAAGGCGAATCAAATAGCTGTCGTCCGGTCGATTAACCTGAGTGTTAAGGTCACGATCTGATTGGCGCGTCACCACGTCTGCTCGCGTACGCCCAACTGACCACATATATTTGCTTGTTGTTTCATGATCAAATATACACTTTGACTGTCGTTTCTCAGCAGTGTTCTTTCTCCAGTTGTTGGGGCCTGGACAAAGAGGCGTACGTATCGATCACATCGTCTTGACATCGAGACATAACAAATGGCGACGGAAAAATCGGAAATTTCAATGAATTTTTCGGCAGATCAATTCCAACTCCTGTTAATGCAGCAACAGAAACAGATGAAGGCTCAACTGAGGCTGATTGAATCACTGATGCAGCGGCTCAACCTGCAAACAACAAAATCAGTTTCACTTGAATTCCCCTCTAGCGCTACTGAAATGCTCGCAAATTCTATCAATGAATTCAGCTATGATCCTGAAACTGGTCACACTTTCGAGGCGTGTTTTAAACGCTGGAAAGATGTGTTTTGAACAGATTTCGGTTGTCAAGACGATATATGGAAAGTGCGTCTACTGGTCGGAAAACTTGGAACTACTGAACACTCCAGATTTGTAGACCACATTCTACCAAAACAACCAAGGGATTTGAAATTTGACTAAGCGGTGGCACAATTATCAGAGCTCTTTGGTAAGTCAGCTTTACTGTTCAGCATCCGATACGAGTGCCTGAAAATTAATAAACGGGATGGAGAGGATCATGGCATGCTTGCTGACAGAGTCAATCGTAAGTGTGAACGTTTCAAACTTCGTTCTTTGACCGAAGACCAATTCAAGTGCCTCATTTTCATCAGAGCACTACATAGTCCAGAAGATGCCGACATTTGTACCCGTTTATTATCCAGACTTGATCAAGACCCGGATATGGACCTGAAGTCTCTTATAGCCGAATGCAAACGTCTTCTCTCCTTGAAATATGACACTGCTTTGGTCGAACAGAAGACTTCCATAGCTGGCGTTCATGCAATGCATTGCCCAAATACCTTGGACATTTCGTGCTTCACCTTCACTAAAGCCAGAGTCCAAGATAGTGTTTAAATCCAAACGCCCTGTACGCTACGCTGCCATCAAATCAGTCGACGCTGAACTAGACCGATTGGAACAATCTGGTGTCATCAAACCGATCAATTACTCATCATGGGCAGCTCCGATTGTGGTCGTCAAGAAACCCAATGACAAGGTGCGCATTTGTGCAGATTTCTCAACGGGTCTGAACGCCTCACTAGAAGATCATCAATATCCACTTCCAATACCAGAAGACATTTTCGCCAAACTGAATGCTGGTATCTGTTTCGCCAAACTTGACTCATCAGATGCATATCACCAAGTGAGCGTTGCTGATGACTCAAAGGAACTACTCACGATAAACACTCATCGCGGTTTGTTTCAGTACAATCGTCTGNGAACGCCTCACTAGAAGATCATCAATATCCACTTCCAATACCAGAAGACATTTTCGCCAAACTGAATGCTGGTATCTGTTTCGCCAAACTTGACTCATCAGATGCATATCACCAAGTGAGCGTTGCTGATGACTCAAAGGAACTACTCACGATAAACACTCATCGCGGTTTGTTCCGGTACAATCGTCTGCCTTTCGGTGTCAAGTCTGCACCATTAATTTTTCAGCAGCTGATGGACACGATGTTGACTGGTATCGCGGGTACTGCCGCATATTTGGTTGATATAATCGTTATGGGTCGCACACAAGAAGAACTGTTT